ACAGGAGGAGAGGGGGGCGGAGGAGGAGCGCGGTACCTGCGGGTGGCCGTTAAGGGCGTGGCGCCTGCGGGTGGCCGTTAACGAGCGTTAGGTGCGCGTTGCTGTTTGCGCGGGAGAGCCCCACCGCCGTCGGGGCGCTGCGGCTATGGCGTCGCCCGCGCTGGACTGTGTGGGTCTGAGGCGGGACTGTAGCGCTCCGGAGACTGAAATGCGTTGGGTTGGGTGGTTAAAAGCGGAAGGGATGGGGTCGGCTTTAAAAACTGCCATTTACTTATTTGTTTATGTATTTGCAGTGACGTTTCTTTATTTTGCGACCATTTGAATTGCCACTGGTCTTATTGCTTTTGCTGTACTAACAAGCTGTGCTTTGCGGGGTTGATCGTGTTTTGTTGATTATGAAAAATAAAACAGAAGAGGGAACGTTCAGGTGGTGGCTTGCACCTCATAGAGCAGGCGATGAAGTGTAAAAGCAGAAACCCACTACCTGATTATTATTAGAATTAAACTTGATAGTAATCTGAAAACTTTATTTAAAACAGAATCCCACTTTTGTTCCTTCTTCCCTGGACCTTACCCATCCCCCTCGTTTTCAGCTTTTTTTTTTTCCCCCCCTTGTGAGCAGGTTCATTTTTTAGCTATTACACTTCACTGTCAAAACCTTGCAAAGTCAAGTCTGTTTGACTCTTTTGGCCTTTTTTTTTTATTAAGCTCCAACACTGCTACTTTCTGAAGGCTTGATTTGAACACGGGGCAACTCCCATGTTCTTTATCTGGGTTAGAAGTAACAGCACATTTATGGTTTTAATTATAAGGATTTTTTTACTTCTATTTCTTTGAATTAATTAACAATTTCAGCCCTTCCTCTTTCTAAAATGAACAAATATATATATATGTGTATTTTAAGAGGTGGATAGCATAGCAGCAGGTCATTGTTGGTGAGAGACATCACCAATACTTCGAACTGCAGAAAGTTGTTCCAGTTTCAATGCCGTATCAACTGTTAATCTCTGTCAGTGTTTTAAATCATGATTCCTTGAAAGCTGACCATGTGAAAGTGTTGTGAAGACTGTTCTGTTATAGAGTCAGGGCCTTACTGTGCAGTTACTGTCTTTGACTCGTTTTTTTCATATTTTCCACAGGTTATGTTTAGAAGAGAAGTCTCTGTTGTGTACTTCTCTGGTGACCAACAGTTCATCTGTTGATACTTACGTACTTCCTTATAACTTCATGGTAGAACAACTTCTAAGAGTGTCTGTTTGGTTACTGCAGCATCTGGATCCAGAGGTTGTTTTTAAAAAATGTGGACTGCTAAAACTCTCTGTACTGCTCAAATACAATTGCTTCAGTTGACAGGAGGTAGATTATCTAGTGGCATGTTTCCAGAAACTTGCCAGTTTTGGCTTGGTATGCTAAACTATTGTACAAGATGGGCACCACATAACAGAGTTAAATGCCAGGTAAGTATTTATTTTTATGGTGCAGTAGGTATACATGATACGGATTGATTCAGAGTTAATATGATTTTGTTTAGAACCTACAGGGTTAAGCTTTTGGTCTTGCAGCCTGGCTTATGAGCTGAAGATGCATTCTCTAAGTAAGGTTAAAGGGCCCACAGTAGAAAGTTACCGGAGACTTGGTGTTGCAGTATAAACTTCTTTGTACTAGTATAAACTTCTTGTTTGTACTAATACAATATTGAAGAGAGGATAAAAAAGTTTCTACTGGATTGGTAAGAGAAAATAAAGAATTTTTTCATTAAAAAACCAATAGAAACAGGTATAAAAACTATATAAAATATAAAAATAAGATTAACCTTGAGACTTAAAGTTCCAAGTTGGATTATTTGTCCTTTTTTTTAGTAGTATGTAGCTATATATAGTTGAGGGAACCTTTGAAAATAAAAATAGCTGCATGATTCTATGAATAGACTGCTGTGTTTTCCAGTTAGTTTTATGGGGACTAAACAGTTATGGGAAAATCTAGATACTTTTACAGCCATTTTAAATGGATTAATGAAGTACGTTAAGGATATTTTTTCCTACCTGCTGCTTCTCTTCAAAATAATATTTGACTGTGTGATTGTAGGTTTCCAAGGCAAATGATGACAAATCAGTAGTAGACGCAACAGCTGCTATTGGTGCGCAAGGAAATAAAATAGCTCCTGAAAAAAGTTCCAGCGGAATACATAATGGAAAACACCGTTCATTAGAGGGTATTTAACTTTTCTTTATCTTAGAAAGCAACTCCTCTCTATCTGTTGGTATCTTGCACTAATTAATAATCAAGATGGTGTAAACTATTAACTTTAGTTTTACATCATGTCCTGATTTTTTTTGTTTGTTTGTTTGTTTGTGTCTTAATGACTGGATTGTGCATTGATATTATATTTATTTATTTTTACTCCAACTTCAGTCAGCTATTAAAATGCTTATTCAACCTGACTGGACAAATGCAAAGTTTGTAGCTCTTCCATGTTCCTTTTAGCATCAGTGGTGGCTTAAGAAAATAGAACACAGTTGTGTTGCTTTGTGTGAACCCATTTTGAAGTAGGAAAATCGGTTCACAGAGTATTTGCGGACACCTGTAAAGGATCTTTAACTGGTGTTCTTGATATTTAAAACTGGAAAAAAAAATTCCTGGGTGAGTTGGCGTTTCTGATTTAGGGAAATGTAATAATTATTGTGTGACTTAAATATGATCTTTTATTTTAGCAATGCTTCCTTGCTTTTCTTCCCATGACTTTGCTTGTTTTCTCATTCCTAGCTAATAACCAATCCTCAAATGTGTCATTTTGCGTCATGCATCTTTTACCTTACGCTACTTTAAAGTAGTTTTTAGCTCCTGTGCTTCAGGGTATTTGGTCATTCTATGTATAAAGATTCTTGCGTATAAAGATTTTCTAGTCAGTTGCTTTAGGTGTTTTCAGCTTTTGTTTACAGACCGGATGACAGTGTAATTATAGCCGATGAAGTCAATGAGAGTATATACTGTTTACATAATTATATTGTCCAGAAAACAGCATTACAAGGAAGTGCTGTACTATTTGTTGAACAAGACAATTAAGAAGACATCATCTACCTTGAAAAAAGCTATTTCTCAATGTCCTGATTTTGCAGTACAGATTTTTTTTATATGTACTCTGTTTCAGGTTTGTATTGTGAATAGATGATATGCTATTAAGCATACAAAAATGAATCCCTACACACAACTTGAAGTATATTTTTTAAGCACGACTAAATCCATCTGACTGATGTGTCAATCTTTTAAATAGAGCTGCTAGGCTTGTACTTATTCCTGAATGCGCTTGCATTATCCATAGAGTAATGTTGAACAGCACAAGTTTCTTGCTGCATGTATCTGTTTTTAAAATTTTAGTTTTCTTGATAGACTGCAGTAACATACTTATCCTATTGCCAGTTGAAATGCTTACATTTTCAAATTTGTTAGTCGTGTAATTAACAATGTTTTTGCAAAGCAGTGACGATTACATTTGTTAGGCCTTATGTGAGTTTTAACTCTACAGGGTATGCACTGCCTAGTATTCTATGGAATGTTTTGGGGCATCTTGCAAAGTGTACTAAAATGTTCTTACATGTGTTAATATCATATCTCTTTCAAGAAAGAAACTTAAAAGTTAACATCTTCAACTTATTTTAATCCTCTTTTTCTTTGTGCTAAAGTGTTGTGAAACAGATCTTTCGTACTAAGATAGAAAGATTTCTGCTATTTTCTAAATCAGCTGAAGAAACGGGATCTTGTTCTGTGCCCCGTTGTGACTACATTCCCATTTTTGGTACCCTGTAATAAATTGTCAGGGAGTAGTGGTACTGTACTTGATTTTCTCTGTGTGTCTTGAATTATTACAACCCTTGAATTATTACAACAAAATAAAAGCAGTGCTCTGCCAGATCATCAGAGAAACAAAAGGTTTTGACTCATATTTTCTTTGAGATATGCCATTTTAACTTGCAAATCAAGTGTTGCCATGACATTGCAAACTTCAAAAGAAATGGGAAGCTTTATATTCTTATGAAACAGTATCTTGGTACCTGTCTCTCTTCTGTTTTCACAGGGCATTCATTCATCTAATGAATGCTTTCTCATCTTTTCCTCTTACTCAGAGAATTCTCTGAAGGTGAAACAAGACTGCTTAACCGTCAGTGAGAAGCCCCTTTGCTTAATCTGTATCTATTAAGCAGAACGATTATTTTTGTTCTTCACCTCTATCTGTCATCCTTGTAGGTCACTTGTCTTGTTACAGACTTTTTTTTTCCACCCTTGCCCTCATTTCAGTCGGTGTGTAGAACCCCCCCACAGATACAGTGCTGAAGAGGATGTCTATTGTCTGCTGTTCTCTTTTCTGTACTGATTTGTAATATTCCTCTAATTATAGCAGTTTGAACAGAATTTCCACTAAAATTTCACTTAGAATAACTGGCTGTCACTTGTGAATTTAAACATTATACTTTTCTTTTCAAGACCGAGCAGGATAAAGCTAGTAGCAAGTGTGTCCAATTGGTTTGATCTCAAAGCTGAACCTGGCTTGCTCCAGAAGGTTGGACTAGGGAACTCCTGAGGTCTATGACTCAAGGATTTTTTTTTTTTATTCGCCATTTACCCATCTGAAGTGTTCTTAAATGTGTGTGCAAGAGCCATTTTTCATGTAGTCTTGCAGTTACATGAAATGACTGTATCTGCCATTTGAACCAAATGTCATTTGCTAGTTCAGATTTGTACTAAAGTGTTTTCAGATCCATTTTACATATGACAAAACATAGCCTAGGCCTGGGAAGTAGCACTGACTAAATATCTCTGTTATAAGGCATTATATTTAGTAATGCTGTTAGTTTTGATTTGAAATCTGCTTGGGAAATTTGTAAAGCAAATTTGTATAATGTAACATACACAGTGGATCAAAGCAATTATTTTCCCAAACTTGTTTTTCTTGCTATGTTACAATACAATGACTTTCATTTTTTATTTTTATTTTTTTTTGCTCAGTGCCCCTTTATGTAAATACACTTCCCCCCTAAATTGCAAGAGGCATTAGTTAACCTCAAAAGTTTAGCCAACCTCAGATGAAGCAAATCAGTCCATTGAGTTTCAATGTGTGTTTTTTCATCCACTCTGTATGTTATGCATTAAAATCTTAAAAGTATGATTTTGTTTGCTGTTTTCCAGCAAACTCATTATATCTTCTCTGAAGTATGGTGATTTTTTTTTATTTAGCCTTTGTTTTTGCAAGTAGTATGACAGCCTAACATTAGCTTCGTTACAGATATCTGTCTGTCATATCCCCAGACCAAAAAACAACCTGAAACATGTTCTGTCAGTACAAAATATCTTAGATTTAAGCTACAGGTATTCTTATTTATTAATGGATCTGCAAGCCTTTTCCTGTATATAGGGGATAAAGGTCATAAATGACCTTATGATAATGATAATGTTTATGATAATGTAGGTTTTTAGCCGAATGACTGATCTTTTCACACAACAAGCACTGTGCTATGTGAAATTTTCCCTAGTGCTGTGAAATTTCCTGGGTTTTGTTTGTTTGTTTATTTGTTTTTCTCTGTAGATAGATAAGTTGAGTTTTTAAAGTTAAAAATGTTGGCACTGTTCCCAGTTTTGTTACAGTTTAGTAGAATTTCAGCCTTATAAATCCATCGAAGGGGTATTGGCTTGCATTTCTAATGTTAAAAAAGACCTACAAAATTTGGTAAAATCCTTTAATTCCTTGAATTTATTCTGTAAGGTCTACTTAGTTTTCTCTTGCTGTTACTTGCTATTTCCATGTGTTGTAACTTGTCATCTAAATAAGAAGTGGTAGGTGGGCTTTTATTGCATATCTTCCCCCTTCACCTTCCCCCCACCCACCCTCTTCTGTCTCTCACTCCCAGCTGGTGGTCTGATCCTAACCATACCTGGGGTAAGGCAGTTTAATTTAGCTTGTCTTCTTATTGAGTGTTTTCCAAAGCTGTTGCCTACCCTTATTTTTTTATTATTTTTAATCCTCCCACTGCTGAGCTGAACAGGCAATTTACAAAATCCATTGCTGTACACATCCACTTCTCTTTATTAGAGTTTGCAGAACCATATCTGTTGATGGCTTCCAACCACCTAGTTATTTCATTATGAAGTGGAATTTACTGATATAGTTAGTCATATTCATATTGATATGTACCCAAATAAATCGAGGGTTTCTTTTAATAAAATAAAATAGTGCAAAAATAGTGCTGAATATTTTTCTCTCAATTATAGTTATTTGCAAAAATAGTTAATTAAACTCATGGTCTCAGATGGTTTATTTTAAAAACAAGCAAACAGAAAGCTTAAACTTCCTGTGTGTGTCTTTTGTTACTTTTAATTCTGTCTTTGAAACTTTCAGTGTCTGTGTTTTTACACATGTATGTTTTATTTAAGTGCTTTACTTTCTTACCCCTCTTAGGGGTAGCAGTGATACCTTTTTTATCAGAAATTATTTTATTAAATATAATACTGAATGCCAATAGCTTGGTGAGTAAATGAGTTCCAATGATGAAGGAAAAAATTGCTTCAGTAGAGAACTATATTAGGTTCAAGACTGCACATGTCATGTGAGAATGACACTTACATACACTTACAGCAAATTTGTCATTAAGTTTGGATTTTGACTTGATGTAGCTAATAGTGGTAAAATGATAACCTGACATGTTCAACAGTGTTAACACCTTTGAATAGCTACTTTTGTTTTGCATCTCTTTCACAAATTAATTGAAACATGCACTTATATAAACCTTTATTTCCTGATAAAACAAGAGCTATGAAACACATTATGCTAAGGAGTGTTTCAGAATAGTTTTTTAATTTTGGAGATGCTAAAAGTTTAACTCCTACTTGTACGTTGCATTTGGTAATAAAAAGTGCTTGTTCTTCTTAGTTAAGCTGCTCCTTGTTATATAGATATTACACTACATTATGTATTGTGTGTCCAAAAATTTAAATGTATAAGATCTAACTTCCTGACTGCAAACTTTTATTTCCACAGCAAAAATGAAACATCTGAACCTATCATTTGCAGCTTGTGGGTTTCTGGGTATTTACCACTTGGGGGCAGCAGCTGCTCTTTACAGGCATGGTAAGAAGTTACTGAAAGTTGTGAAATCGTTTGCGGGAGCTTCTGCGGGATCACTGGCTGCCACTGTCTTATTAGCAGTACCAGAAAATATAGAGGTAAATTAATAATCTTTATAGGTGTAGGACATGATCATTTTCAAAGGATATGTTTAAAGGAAATATTTTAGTTGTTGCTTTTCTTGTTGCTCCTTATAAAGCGGCAGGACTTAAACTTTGAATTTCCTCAAAGAAAATGGTGAAACCTTAACAAAAAATGTTTATGAATATGTTTGTGTTTATTTCTTCAAAATCTGTGTTCAGTTTGTAGTAAAAAATCAAGTAGACTTCTGTTTACCTACTTTAAAACATAAAGTACATTTAAGTCTTGCAAGTAGGAAAACAATGTACAAAAGCTTTACTGAATGTCAGTGGAGGATTAACCCTAACAAAATTCTATTCTAATATTTCTTGCATATGTTTTCTTTCTGGAAATGTCACCCTTTTATTACCATGGAAATAGTGTCATAATCTATAAAATCTCAAAGCAAACAGTCTTCAGTAATGTTTTCATAAAAGATTGTTTGAGAAGGCAGTTGGTTTTCTTTTCTTTTTTCCTTCCTTAGGTTAAGGCTGTTTTGCTCTCCTGAAGTGCATTTAGAAGATCGAGGTCTTAATCCATTGTGTAAACTATGAGACACAACAATTGCTTAGGTTTATGTGTATGTTTATTTTAAGGGTGTTTTTTTTTTTCTTTTTTTTTTTCCTTTATTTAATAATTACAGTAGCCTCTAAGTAGTTTGTTTTCATGCTCGGGCTTTACTCTAATATATATGGAAGGCCAGGCCTCACTAAGTGTTAAGATTTTATATATACGTGTATATATATACACATACATATATATATCTTTTAGTATTTAGAATATAAGATGCAACAATACTCAAGGAATTTAATCTGCTAGATAAAATTTTATTCTAAGTACAGCTAGGTTTCAGCTTCGGGTGCTCCTCAGGTAAGCCTTACCATTTTTTTATTTGAACAGACATGCCAAGACACGACATATATTTCTGCTAGGATACCAGCTTAGCTTGAAGAGTTATCTATACTTCCGTTGCTTTCATTAGTACATTCATCTTCCCTGGCCTCTTCTCCGCTCCCTCCATTGCATTCTGTATGTGGCTTGATAGAAGACGAGGTCTTCTCTGTTGTGATGAGAACCTTATTTGTATTCTCTTCAGCTCTTCCTCCTTTTCTGTAGTCTTTGACTAGTAGTTCCGTTTCAGATTTATTTGGTGTAATACATACTTTTGGCCTTATTTGACCTTATTTCCTATATGATAAGCACAGCAGCTAGCCTTTTTTTAGCTCAGGGAAAAAAAATGGGGGGAGGGTTGTTGCTTTTTATATTTGTAGATATGAAGTCCATTCTTTTTATTTTTCTTAAAAATGTCATCATGTTAGAACAAACTGAAGAATGTTTCATGAACTCTTTAGCCCTTTAAAATCTTTCTAATAACTTTTTAGTCATTCTGTTAAATTGTTCAAATGGAAAATCGAGAACTCTCCCCATCATAAAGCAAGGAACATCTCAGTTCTCATGGAATTTAAGTAAAGGCAGTACTGTCTAACAAATAGAAAATGCTTATTTTTAATATTTTATTTCCTTTAAAGTCTATATTAATTTTTCTTCTCAGCATGATTGCATCATCAGTTTTGACGAAAAATAACAATATGTGAGGAGTATTGACAGCTGTTGAAATGTTTCATATCTGCAAGTATAACTCTCATACCAATTAGTGTTTTCTTTTTTTTTCCAGAAGTGGTTAAAAAAACTGTAGTTAGGTCTTACTGCAGGTTCCAGTCTCAAAGCTGCAATACATCACTTGGGAAATTTGAGTGTAACACCAAAAATGTCTAGTTTTGACTATTGTTTTTCTATTGCAATAGCTCACAATGGATGGAGGCCTGTAAAGCTCCTATTCCATTCAGAAGTACCTGATCATCGGGTTAGATCTTAAAAAATCAATGCCATAGCTGCCATTTCTAACCTGTCATTTTAAAATTTTAAAGCTTTTTTTTTTTTTCTTTAAGCACTAACAATTGTGAACAATTCATAGCTGTAAGTAGAAATGGTCCTTTTGGCAGCAAAAATCAAAAGTCAATGTATTATTTGTCCATACCCATGGACAAGTAGCTTTCTGTCATTCTTCTAGATTTGGATTCATCTGACTTCTGTTACCTGTGTTAACCTTCTACTTTAGTCACTTTGTTAAGGCATAAGGCATAAGGATAGCAATTCTGAGTTGCTTTTATAGTCTTTAGGGGGTTGTGGGTTTCTTCTCTCCAACTTAGAAATTTAGAAACAGAGGTGATGTGAGTCACAGTCAGAATGTGCCTGTTCTTCTGGCTGACCTTGAAGAAACCTAACAATAAAGTGGAATAAATTCAAGCCCTATTTCATACTGCTAGTTTTGTGTATTTGCAGTGAGAAGCTGCAATGGTTGGAATTGGCAATGACAAGTAAAGCACCTGCTTCCTACAGTAAAAGTACAAATCTAACTCAGGATCTGATGTCAGCTTGACCTATATGAAATGAATTAACAGGAATCACTGTGATGATCATTGCTTAGGAGGCATGTACCTCTTATTCCTGACTAGCATTTTCTAATATTCATTAGAAGGCTATGTAAGGAAAGTGAATGCAGGGACCATTTTTGCTCCTCACTTAGGTGAGTGCTCTGACATATCAGTGATAGGAGGAAGTTGAGCTGCCCCAACCCATGTTCTCTTTATCTCGTAATAACTCCCTAACCCAACTTTTTCCTATTTATCCTGCTAGGACCTCCTTCACAGATGGGACACAGTAGTTTGTCTTGTCTTTCCTTCCCATTCCCAGCCTGCATCTCCATTCTGTCAATCTTTTATTGAGTTACAGGAACATACTTAGTGTGTCTTCGTGCAACAACCAAACAATCCAGGATCCCCCAACTAGCTATATACAGTTCTTGTATAGTTCTTGTATTCTGGTTGCTAAGTGCATATGAGTGTAGTATATTTATTGGATAAACTATATTTAGAAAGTCAGATAAGACTGGATTGCATTTTTTCCCCCCCGAAGTCAGTGAAATTAGAACCAAAATCTTTTTGAAAGGGTAGATAAATGAATACTGAATAGTGAGTCTTAAACCTTCAGAATCACAACTCAGGGTTTCGAAGTCCTTTTATTTAAAAGTAAGCACTAAATGTTCTTTCACTTTCCCTTCAGATATTTTTTCTTTTTGCCTCCTGTTTCAAGCTATTTTTCCACAGTCATTAAAGCTATTTCAGCTTGCTTAAAAGAAGTTCTGTGCAGTGAAATCTGTAGTCTAGTACCCTGCACCTGTCTGTAGCTTTATCCTCTGTCAATTTTTGTCCTACAGTGTATTTATTAAATGGTGTGTATTTGAGTGGTGTGGGGTTTCTTTGCATTAGGGGAAACATTTTTAAAGCTTATAGTCTTCTTGAAGTAATTATGTCTATGTTTACTACTGAGATAATGTTTAAGATAGTGTATGGCTGTAGACTTCAAACACAAATTGTTGTTCATGTGAAGACACGGTTGAGAGAATTGATCTAGCAGTGATCATACATGACAAAGTTGCAATTAACGTCCCTTAATTGTTAATAAGAGATTTAAAATAATAATAATAATTAGAGTTCTTGCAAACTAGTTTTTACAGAAGAGTTGACAGTTTACTATGCTTATCTTGTTACAAACCAAGCACATACAGGAAAATATCTTAGTCTGATCTCATAGCTCACTATTGACTAAAAGTTTAACTATTTTAAGTACTGCAGTTGGACATGCTTTCCGTAACTACAATTTCCTTAACGATGAATATTTTAATTTTCAGGAATGTAAGCAGTTTGCCTATGAGTTTGCAGAGGAAATTAGAAAATTGGACTTTGGTGCTGTAACGCCTGGTTATGATTTCATGAAAAGACTTAGGTACCTATGTTAATATATGTTTAAAAATCCACTTTTATGTGAAGGTCTCTAAATTCAAATGAAGAGTACAGCCACTTTTTGCATAGCTGCTTTTTGTACTCTTTTTGGGGATCTGGACAGTTTTTCCCCTGAAATATTTGCAAAATTTTAAATTAATGATGGTGTATAATGTTTGTCATTCTCTTTATTTTAGAGGAGGCATAGAGTCTATTCTTCCATCTAATGTTCATGAGATAGCTGAGAACCGGCTCTATGTGTCAGTCACTAACACCAAAAATGGAGAAAATCATTTGGTTTCAAGTTTTGCTTCCAGGGAGGACCTTATTAAGGTAATGAAATTGCATATTACTGCTTCAACTAAAAATCCATGAGTGTCTTCAAGGCATAGGAGTATGTTATTGACATTGGCTAAATCATCATTTTAGTCATGCAGTCACTTACAGTATTGCTAACTGTATAAACAAAAGAAGTAGAATTTGGTCTTGCATTTGTGCAGACTTTGCTAAAGTTATTTTATTTCCTTCAGCTGTTTTTAAAAGTATTTATAAGCAAATTTAAATAATAATAATAATAATAATGGGGTAGTTAATGGTTACAGTAGATCAAAATCCCCAAATTTGATCAACACTTTTACAGTCTTCTACTGGCTAGCAGTCTTTTTATTTAATTTACATTATTTAAAGAAGTTTCGTTCACTTTCTTTTGTGACAGAAGTCAGTTCCTTCAGTTTAGAGAATCAGAAAATATGTCCAAGGATGAAAAATTTCTAACAGTGAGCGTGACAGAGCAAAACCTGCCTGGACACAGTCCTGTGCCACGAGCTCTAGGTGACCCTGTTGGACTAGATGACCTCTAGAGGTCCTTTCCAACTTTAACCATTCTGTGATTCGCCCCACCCACCCTCAACCCCCCCGGCAAAAAGGAGCTTTTCCAGCACTTTCTACAAATCCTTTTCAGGAAAGGATATCTTTTGGCGTTAAGTCCTGTATATGAACTGTGCATGCAGCTGGAAAGCATATGTTTTTATTTTACTACCCATTCATGCCCCTTTTGGAATTTGAGTTATGATTATAAACTTAAACTGATGTTAAAAAGCAGAAGTGCAGATATATGGATCTAGAGGAAATGTTTTTTCCTTTCCTAAACCCCTTAATTTTAACAACTGGTTATACTTTAGTGGTAGTGATCATCAGACAGAGGAAGAAGGAAATGGAATAAGCAGGACACTTTGAAAATAAATGAAAAGCAATTCCATCTTTTTCTGTATTTCTGGACACTTAGAATTAATGGGAGGTGCTTGCTGATTAACACTTCTTAATAGCAAAATCTGAAGTGCATATTAGAAGTCAGTTTTTATTATTTTCTTGTAATCTCGACTCTGTTATGTTCTGCTTGGTCTGTTGGTTTTCAAAATTGGTAGGATTTAGTCATGCAAAGATGATTAAATTGAATGATGATTGAATATTAGTTTGCTGCCATGGTTCCGTAGAACACAGAGCTGGATAGGACCTTGCTAGTTTATGCAATCCTGTTACAGCTGATTATGCTTTGAGGCAAGGTATCCAAATCATGCTGGACAGACAGTGTTTTATAACAGTGAAACTCCTGTATACCAGAGATCTTTGGCCTCCATAGGTAATTGGTTTCAATGCTTGACAAGCTTTATGGTTCCAGGTATTTTTTTTCTACTGGCTAAAATGAGTGTCTGCTGTTGCAGTTTTGAGCTCTTCTTGTCATATTCCCAATGCACCTGGAAAGCATTTAATCTTCCTCTTTTCAAGACAGACTTTACATGTGTGGAGAGCAATATTATGTACATCATCATTCCTAGTCCTACAGCTTAAGCTGGGTGTGAGAGAACGGCATGTTGTGTTCATGAGGGAACAGCACACAAAGCTCTATTGTATTTAGTCTGGAATTGAGTTCACTTTGCTCTGTTAGGGTTATGCTGAAAGAGTTAATTTTTCGATGTTGTCCTTCCTCTCCTCATTCCTGAGGCTTAAGTGACTTTATAAATAGGGCCAACTGCTTTCTTCAGTTCTTGAGAAGAATTGACAGTTTGCAGTCACCTGGTTTTGGCTCTTTTTTTTTTTTTTTTTTCCTGGCCAAATTTAGTGGGCTAGAACTGAAAGAGAGAAAGGAAGTTGGGCAGCAGACTCTGAGCCTTTAGAAACCTTGCAGCATCCCACTTCTGAAAGTCTGAAGAGGAAGATTGAGAGGGAGCCTATCACATTTATAAGTAGCTGAGGCGAGAATGTACGGAGGATGGGGCCAAACTCTCCTCAGTGGTGGTCAGTGACAGGACAAGGGGTAATGGGTACAAGTTGAAACACAGCAAGTTCCATCTCCATGTGAGGAAGAACTTCTTTACTGTGAGAGTGACAGAGCCCTGGAACAGGTTGCCCAGAGAGGTTGTGGAGTCTCCTTCTCTGGAGATCCTTGAAACCCACCTGGATGCCACCCTGTGCCATGAGCTCTAGGTGTCCCTGCTGGAGCAGGGGGGTTGGACTAGATGACCTCTAGAGGTCCTTTCCAACCTCAACTGTTCTGTGACTCTGTGTGACTGTTAATAGGTCTGAAGTGGATGTTTTCTTATGGCTGTGTGAGGGGAAGGCCTATCTTGGAGAAAAAGCTACAGTTTCACATTTGAAAATTAAGAACCTTTCTTACTAAGTCCAGGCAAAGCCCAGGTCGTTGGGTAGAGAAGTAAGCAAGAAAAAGTTCTCAAACTGGGAGTTAAGATTGTATTTAAATCTCTGATTGGAACTTGCTTGAAGAAGAGAGGTGTTTAAATACTGAAAGTAACTTAATTGGTTGTGAGGAGGTTCAATTACACCTAAAGTGATTAAGCATTATGCTTATAATTGTCTTTTTTTCACCTGATTGTCCTGTATAATATAAGTATCTCCTTCTGTGACCTGCTTGTTTCCCAAATTTGTCTCGTATATGCATGTGCAAGCTTGCGTGCAGGCATATACAGCACAGTCGTATATATGACTTTCTAATTCATTCATGTGCGCATCCTCTTTGAAGCACTGTCTACGATTTGCAACTATATATATAAACATCTGTACATATTCATATTTATTCACATCTGCATGTAGAAATTGTTACAAGAGGGTAGAAGGGGTGTGTGAGTGCATCTGTATGTGACAGAAGATATGCCCCAGTCTGAAAAATTTGCAAACTGCTGTTTTTTACATAGCACAACAGATTAGTACATTTATTATAATTACTGTTATTCATCTAATAAATATACATGAAAATATTAATTGGTTTAGAAATATTTTATTGCCTTAACTGTTACCTCTTTTTCTCTCTCTAGGTCCTGCTAGCAAGTAGCTTTGTGCCAGTATATGCAGGAATTAAGCCAGTAGAATATAAAGGAGAGGTAATTTTGCATTATATTTGTGTAAATATATTTGTAAATATTGTGTAAATATATTTGTGAAAGACTTTCTTGTCTGCGAGGTAACTGATTTCAGGGGAAGAGTAGATGAGAATTATGGTACCGCCTTCAGCAGAATAATTATTACTTCTATTGATTCTATAGGTACATGCATATCAATTTCATTAATAACGATCTTATAAAATTGTGGGTGCTGAAACTGAAGTGGTCTGTAACATGAAGCTGTTTCTTAAAGATAATCTTTCTAGGACTAAAGCGTGGGAAGTTGCTTCCGTTGATGGAGACACTTCACATTTTAATTATTAGAATAATAAAGGCAGTCTTGTCCAGTCTTGGAAATAGAGACACCGGTTTACTCCAGAAGTTTCCAGTGTATGCAGTGTACTTTTGTTGAGGACATAGAAACTGGTTTATGTATCATCCTCAAATCTGTTACCTCCAGACAAAAAATATTCCTGTGTCACACACAAACATAAAATTTTGGAAAAATCAGGAAATTAGAGATGATCATTAATAAAAATAAATCTTCTATAAAATCTTCTCGTAGTTGACTGTTCTTGATCTAGTTTCAAAAACTTTTTTCTTAAACTTCGTATTATTTTAAAAATTCTTTCAACTGTTTAGTCTTCTAAACAATTCTAAAATGATTGTTGAATGCTTTGTTATTTCATGAGAAGCATCAAAGTAATGCTTTTAGAAAATCTTTCATTCTAGCAGATTCTTCATCACTACCCCATCACTACCCCAAAGAACTTTTCCTAGTATTCATGTGCATTTGCCTCTAACAATTATGTTTCCGTATCAAAACAACTGTTAGCTGTTACGACTGCTGTATATAATTTTAAAGCTAAAAAATCTGAAGGGTTCATGTCACCATGACTTGCAAGTCCCTAGAATTTAGTATTTTGTTGGTATCTTTAGAATGTTCCTTGTGTGGTTCACAGAGTGTATGTGCGTACATGTTTAAAGTTCATTCTGCTGTTACTTAAATGGAATATAGTGTCTTTATTAAACTTTTTAATTAAGAAACTGAAATTTTAGATCAGAGATTAGTTGTCCAAAATTTCCTGGTGAACAAGAAGCTGACCATCAGGCAGCCTTGTGGCAAAGGAGGCAGATGGTATCCTGGATTGTGTTATACAGAGCATTGTCAGCAGGTCAAGAGGATTCTTTCCCTTAGTTCAGCTCTGTTGAGGCTGTACCTTGAGAACTCATCCAGTTATGGGCTCCCCAGTGCAAGAAAGGTGGAGCTACTGGACAGAACCTGGTGAAGGTCATGAAGATGATTAAGACACTAGAGCATTTCTCATGAGGAAAGACTGAAAGAACTATTTAACATAGAGAAGACTGAAGGGGAATCTTATCGATGCCTGTACATGTTTAAAGAGAATATGTAAAGAGGATGGGGCCAGGCTCTCTTCAGTGGTGCCCAAGAAGCCTTGGGCAGAAACCGAAACACAGGAGATTATATGTGAACATAAGGAGAAACTTCTTGACTGTGATGGTGACTAAACACTGGGAAAGGTTGTCCTTAGCGCTGATGGAGTGCTTGCAGATATTCAGAAGCCTTCAGATCTTGGTCTGGGACAAGGTGCTCTAGGTGACCCTGCTTGAGCAAGGGAGTTGGACCACATAGTCTCCAAAGGTCCCTTGCAGCCTCAAACACTGACTCGTATTGAGATTAGCTAGTATCTCTATAGTGTGCACAGTAGAACCTGCAAAACTTCATGGTAACGCAGACAATCTGTCTGTAGTTTTCTTCTGGGTTGATAAACCTGAAAATAATCTGAAGGTAAAGGGAGTGTATTATCAAGATAACATCCAGGAATTTAGGCATTCTGTTAATGGTGTTTTATGACTGGACTATCCCTGCAATTGTATTGGCTATTTAGGTAGCCTTGGACTAGGTTTCCAGTAATGGGTGCAGTGCTCAGTTACACGTAGAATTGGTTTTGCACGTATGATCTTGTATTGAAACACTATTTTCCCAGGTTCAGTAGGACTGTATTTATATGAAATGGTCTAGAAGGACAGAATTTGTTCTGTGCAAGATTACCTTCCTTTGAGTGTGATGTCCCCTGAATCTATGGCAAAGTTAATCTTTGACCTAGATAAATCATCCCCAGATAATTGAGTTGACCCTATATGGTGATGCTGTAGTTCTTACAAGGAGACTTTGTAAATGCCGTCTACAATAATTGGTAAATATAGATTCCATAAGGGCCAGCTTACATCTTTAACTTCAGTGTCTGATTGGTTTGCGTTGCATATTACTTTAGAATTTTCTCTGTCTTTGCACTATAGTTAGAACTAATGCAGAAGATACCAAGAATTTTTTTCCTCTGCTAAGAAGCACTTTTCAGGGATTGGTTAATAGAATTACAAGAAGCTAGAGCATTAGGTATTTTTATTTAAAGAATATAAATATTTATTCTGTTTTAACTGTGGGACTCTGGAGTCAAAATATTTTTAGATGAAAGGCAGCTTCTCTCAGGTGCTTGAAAGAAAATAAAATTAAATGAAGGATATCAAACAGAAAGAATAGAATCCGCAAGATATATTAAAATAATGGTTATTCTAATAAATACTATAAATTGTGGTTATGATAGTATTTAAGAAACTATGAAAAGAACTATACAGACGTATCTGATTTTTAACTTTCCTCATGTGTTTTTATACTGGAAGAGAGAGTTTAACATTTTTGGCAGGGAGTTGTTTTTTACTTTCTGTAAATAACCTATCAGGGTTGTTCAAAATGTGCAAATTACTAACACGTTGTTTCAAGTGGGTAACTTTTAACCTATCAGCTGAAAATTGCACAACAAACAAAATCACTATGATATGTATGTAGATAAAAACCTTGAGAGGAGTTTACAGCTGTCCGTGATTATGAGGAGAAGACAGCTAAGAAGACCTTGTCTGTGAACCCTGTTGAAATCAAGCCTGTGACTCCCTAGATCTTAGGAGTAGATGGGGCTCTGAAATAACCTCACTTCCTTTTGTTGTTTTTTTCTTCCCATTCTCTTCCGTACTCTAGACCTGTAGCAGACCAGATGTCTGCTCCCTTCCAGGTACTGTAGTTGTCCAACTCCTTCCCCCCTTTTCAGCTGTTGGTGACTTTCATTGTGGTTGATGGCTTTTTGTGATCAAGAAAAGAAGAAGTTCAGGGAGATTTGGTGAGAAAGGTTTGTTTTTTAGCTTGTTCAGTCAGTTTATCTGCACATACAAATTCTCCAACTCCTAGTCTGCAAATAAGTGTATATATATATTTATAGGAATGTGCACCGTTGAGTATGGTTGCAGTGTAATACTAACAATCTTCTCCTTTCATGTATATATTCAGAAAAAAAATGTCTTTAAGTTGAAAAAATGCTGTTTTTTAAGCTCTGTTAGGTCTGTTTCATTACTAGATTGAAATGCTGTATCTGTAGTCTGGAAAAAGCATGTAAGAGTCTGGAAAGCTTGCAAGTATGTTTGTAGAGTAGTATCAACACTCCATATGTAAATTTTAAGTTCACTGCTTTTTATTCCTGTAATGCACAAGCTGCTTATTCATGATATTCTGAGAAAGAAGCTTGTAAGTTTCCTTGAGGATAGGGTGGAGGAGGCAGGGAGAGGAAGTATGTATTATTCAGTTTGATCATATTATACTAAAGCTGCCTTGAAAATGTCTTTGTTTTCTGATAGAAATGGGTTGACGGTGGCCTTACCAATGGCCTCCCTATCTTGCCTGTGGGACGAACAGTGACAATTTCTCCCTTCAGTGGTCGATTAGATATCTGTCCACAAGATAAAGGACATATGGATCTGTATGTTAAATTTGCAAAACAAGATCTAATGGTGAGTTCCATGTTTAATAAATAACTTCAGATGAAGAAAAAGTGGTTGAGCTGCTCACTTTATGCTCATATTTTAAGGTTTTGTTTTCTGTTTATACATAGTGCTTAAGCAATGTGATATCTTGATGCTTTGTGTTGTGCATATGGTATGTAATGATTGTCTTTAAATGCAGAGGAAAGAAAAATGTAATATAAAATTCGTAGTAAAGATTGAAAACCTTTAATCTAGTACAAAATTGAGCAGGTATATCACAGACCATTAAATTTAACCTTATTAAATAAAGTTGGCGTAACTAAAATATCAGCTATCTTTGGCTAGGGAGAATGTTTCTGGAAAAATAGGACTTCTGTAGAAGACCTCAGGAGAGGAAAGCTCCAGAACTTACTTCACACTTAGTGAAATAAGCAGCGATAACTGATTGTAAAAGGTGAATTTAATCTTCACAGATGAAATGGTGTGCCAGGACTTGGCATCTCATTGCTCAACAGAGTTCATATTAAATTTTTGAACATTGGGACCACAGCACTTTCAGAAACATTGTTAGAGAATGTTTCAGAAACACGTTTGAGAATGTTTCTGTATACTGAAACATATGTAAAGTCTGATTTTTATGACTTGCTTTTTATCATTGTCATTTTGATCCTTGCAAGCTTTTGCCTACAAAGTCTCACCACACTGTTGTTTCCTTTCACATAACGAAAGAAAATACTGAATAACAGTTGATCTGCTATTGATCTCAAATTCTGTTAGAAAGAGAGAGAGGGGAAAAGTCCTGCTTAATAACAATCCCTTGTTACTTACTGCATTCTTTTGAAGTTTCGTTTAGATTGTTCTTAGCGTTTTGTCAATTCTGAGAAAAATTGAAAAATGACATAATGTCATTATAAAAATGACATAATGTCATTATAAACTGGGCGAGTTTCTAAATTTTAGTGATTCACAGGGATTTAAGTATGATAATACTTGGTAAACGGTCATGCGGTATGAAATCTAATAATTTTCCTTAAATGTGTACATCTCTTTCTGTATATGTGCAGTGGTTGTGATTTGCATCAAATACCCATCAAGAGGAGGAAAATGAGTTGATAAATAGATTAATTTTGGGATAGAAGGTGATTCTGCAATTTATTTTCTGTGATTCTGCAGTTGCAGAGTGGTGGTACAGAATCTCTGGCATTATTTTATGTGGTTCTATTTGAACCTTTAGCTTTTAGAGATGTAAAGATTCAAATTAAGAACAAACTTTTGCAGCCGTATGCAAATCTTCACAGCATAGATATACCTGTGTGTGTGTACTCATATATGTATTATATATGTGTATATATATATTTATTTAACATACAGAGATCGTTTTTATCTGGTTTGGAATGTGAACAGTCATTTGCCTCTTTAGACCTCCTCCATTCATTAGTGTCAGAATTTGAATAATTGCTTAGCTCAAATAATGGAGGTGATTTTGACATGTTGCAAATTTTATATAATCAACTATGTGTCTTAAGTATATACTTAAGTTAATCATATAAATGAAATGTCCAGGTCTTTATTAAATTTCATTATACAAATTGTAATTTTAAGCAATTTAAAATAAATGTCTTTATTAAAGAGCAAACTTTGAAGTCTTTTTACACCAGTTGAGAACATGAGTAGTTCTTATTTTGTTGGAAATGCAAGCTATGTTTGTACCCATATATTAAACATTTCCTGGGAATGTTCCCAAGTATGTGGTTATTAGCACAAGTAAGCTGTCAAAATATTTCCTGGGACTAGTTTAGCGTGTGGCAGCTACCACTCCCCCAGGCAGCTCTGGGGATGTTTTTATAGTTAAAATGTTTCAGACAGCCTGTGTTGGAGGCTGCAGGTTTTAGTATAGGATCGGGCTGTTTCTGCCAGTTCATCTGAGTTTTCAGTAATTTTCCTGAGTATGATTAATTTACTGTGGTAGACATAGCCACGCTAGCCTTTCTTTTTACATATGCTGTATGAAATGGATGATAGGACTGATAACAACACAGTTAAATGTAACATAATTTGCTTTAATAAACTAATTTATGGCACACCTCTCTGTTGCAGCTGTCTTTGGCCAACCTGGTAAGACTTAATCAAGCTTTGTTCCCACCAAACCAGAAGAAAATGGAATTATTGTACCAAAATGGATTTGATGATGCTGTACACTTTTTACTAAAAGAAAACTGGTTTGAGTAGATTGTACTTTGAATATTAACTAAGCTTGATGGCTGTCAAAACACAACTACAGGCATCCTGCCAAATCTAAGGGATTGCTGTCAAAATTTCTGTATATCAAAATAAAAATGCCAATGGAATTAGATCTGCTCTTGTGAAGAAAATATACAGGTGTTCTGGAATTCAAAAACTTGTCAAAATGGGAATTGTACTTGTGTGGTAAAAGATATCTGTCTTTGTTTTGAGGAGGTTGAAATTTAGATCTGTTCTGCTTCAAAGCAGTATTTTATTGTGAGATTTTTGAAAGCTTGTGTTGTCATGCTTACAAAAAATTTGAAAATATTTCTTTTTCCTGTTATTTGAGACACAAATCCAATTGTGACTAAAAATTATGGTCTATATTGCTTACGTAATAGTTGCGCACAATAATTGAATGCTTGCAGTATTGCTAGTCTGGAGATTCTGATGCATCTCCCCTGCTGCGTTCTGCAGGGCTTGAACTCTTAACACTAGCCACAACAAATGAAACATTGGCACTGTTTTACTGTTTACTGTGATGCTGATTTTTTTTTTTACATTAAAAGTTATTGTCCTTCGCAAAGAATGTAATATTACTACTTTTGAAATACTATTCTAAAATTTGTAATAGTGTATTTTTGCCCATTAAAATATATTTTAAAGGAGACCTAAATATTTATTTTGGTTATTCATTATGTTTTTTCCCCAGCTGAAATTGAACAAAATGAATGAATAAATTTTCTTGAAGCTTTGTCAAGAGCTTTTTAAATAAATTTCTCAGAATGCTGTAACAACTTGATCATTTACCCAGATCAGTCTGTTGCAGGGGGAGCTGAAGCAAGTTTAGCATGTTTTTTCTTGTGACTTGGTCTTTTACCATTCCCCTTGCTTTGACTTCAAGATTTTCAGTCTTAATTAAGTTCTGAAAGGTGTGACTATTATAACTTTTGTGGCTTGTAAGTTGAATTCTTTTAAAAATATGAAGTAGAATTAGATATGTATGAAAATACAGCATTCTCCATTGTGTAAATTCTGGAGGAGTAAGAAAGGAAAAGAATCTGGAAGCGGGGAGAAATTAAGAATACCTGCTATAGAAATTTGGAAGTTTCTTCAGCATGTAACCCCTGATTTATATTCAAGTTCAGGCTGTATTAGGTTAACATTCATACAGTGCGGGGTGAGTTATTTATCTGCTGATAAATAAAATAATAAAAATATGGTCCTTTGCATAAGCTTTTTTTAAGTTTCCATAAACAGTGGATATAGGATATGTGTTACTCCCACACCTGTAGAACAGAATTTCTGCATGTAGCACTTAGTATGTCACCTTTGAGTTCCCAACATCATCTGTGGCTGGCTTGTTTTTGTGGCTTTTTTTTTTTTTTTTTTTTTTTTATATGGAGGAAAACAGAACATATAAAATTATATTTAATATACATATATATATATACACACATATACACTAAGAAATTCTCCTCTTGCACAGTGAACTGCTGCAACCCATAAGTCTCTTATTCAAGGGTAATGCCTGTTTTGACAGTATGGCAAAAACTTGAAACAACTCTTCATCTGTTTAACTTGGCATTCTGAGCTCTCGGAGCTACTGTCGTTCTTTCAGAAATAGCCTCCGTACTCTAATCAGTACCTTTCTGAGTCATGATAGAGCCATGTATTTTTAACTAAACTGTGCAAAGCTCGTTGATCTGGATCCTGTTTCATAAAAGGGCATGGTTGAAATGAGTATTTTGAAAGGAGATGGTTGTTAATTGCAAAGCTAATTTGCGGATAATGAGTGATGCTTCTGAGCATCAACACTGTCACAGTTCTCTATGCAGCTTACTCCAAAAATGAGTTACATGCAGGAAAAATTCAGATTTTATTTATGCTGTCCATAAATTACCCTCCTAGTTAGAATGTATATGGTGCCCTGTGTTTCCAACCTCTAACTTAGGGTGTGTTTTTATGTGTGTGTGTTTTTTATTGTTGTTGGTGTTTTCTTGGGGGAAGGGAGAGGAGGGAGGCTTTTTAAATCGAGAGATTTGCAAGCACTTGCAAATCTCAAAGTGGGCAATTGCATTATACATTTTTAGAACTTAAATATTTTTAAAAGGAGAGCAATGAACAGTCTAACAAAATCAGAGCCTCTTGACATTTGTCGGAATTTTTTGTTGTTGTTGGAAAATCAGAAATTGGTTTTACTACAAAAGCATTCTTACTGTCATTAAAATTCTCCTTAAATTTCTCAGCATTAAATTTCTCAGAAAAAAATAAAGGTAGGAGGAAATCCTCCTTCAAAAAGTCTTACTTAAATGGACTTCAAAATCAGTTTCCAATCTTTTTGTCAAAACTCAAGCCAAAATCAACTCTATGAAATGGTGGTTTTAATAATGCTTTTTGGATAGACTGTTATTCCTGCCCCCCTGTTAGGGACTTTTCTGGTGAGAACCTGGTATGGCTGAAAGCAGAACTAGCACTTACTGTAATTTCACCTTTTGATGGATGTGGAAATCCTTCACTTTAAAATGCTATATAAATAGACTTCACAACTGTTTTATAAAACATACATTCTTAGTATCATAAAAGGCTGAAGGAAGTGAAACTTGCTAAATCTCACATCTGTTTTCTGCCACAATGTTTTTGATAAGGAGTTAAGATGGAGATAATTGCAAATGCTACTGTACATACGCAGGCCCGCAAGACACATGTGTGTGTTCATGATGTGTGCAATTTCTGGTAGTATATGTGTTTTGATGCTCTTAGTTCATGTGATAAAATGCTGGGATTACAGCAATAGTCTTGAAAATTCTGCATAGAGCTATGTGTAAACACACAAGCCACAGGGGTCCTGAGAGACTATGAAGAGTAGTTTGTATTTGTAAAACATCTCTTTCTTTTTGTGCTAATCTATTAGGAATAAAGTTCGTTCTGTTCCACAGTAATTCATATATACTGAAATCTTTTTATTGATTTTTTTCTACTCCAAAAATCTGCTTTAAGGATACTTGTCTCACATGTTGTAGGTATTGCCTGGTCATATGTATGTATACACACACATATTTTATCATCTAGTATTTCTATTACGATGAGACTTTCACTTGAAAATGTAAGGTGAATGTAAGATTTAATTCCTCCTTTAGTCAGATCATGTACTGCTGGTTTTTGTATATGCCCAATGTAATGGAAAAACTGACTTTTTAAATAAAAAGTAATCACAGGGGAGAAAAACTGTATGGAGGTACTAGGAAAAAAACTACATTAAGTGCATTAAAAAACTGTTTGCCGTATCTATGAATGGGCCAACTGTGTAGTACTTAATGCCCGCCATCTTAGTTATAACTTTTACAAGCAAATACAACATGGCATCTAGTCAGATTAGAAAAGTGAGGCTCCAGTCTGAGAGCAGAAAAATGTAGTAGATTTCCAGCTTACTCCATTAAACTACAAATAAATTCTGGAGGCGGACACTCTGAAAGAAAAATTTGGAGGGGATCAAGAGAGTTATGGAAGTCCTTCTTCAAACATTAGCACTCTTCATAATTAATAAACTTGTGAATGATCCTTGCTTGTTCTGTCTCCCCAACCCCTATTCAGTTGTATCTGTGTGTGCTTGTTGGGTTTAGGTTAGTCCTGAGTCGGTTTCCTTAACCCTGTGGATCTGTGTGCACCTGGTCTGAGCCAATCAGGAATAGTGCTGCCCTTGCTTAGAGCCACTGCTTTCTCTGAAAGATTTGAACTTTCTCTAACCCTAAATATTTGGTCAACAAATACTTGGTGTTGGTGGGTGGAGGCTTGAAGGGAAGGGTCAGTGCGAGTATTCAGCAATTGCTGTCTAATACAAGCAGCCTGGGACTAATACGCTACTCTGCTAGGCAGGAAGGCTCATTATCAAGATACAGATTCTCTCTGAGTCCCTAATGCCTATGCAGTAATTTTATTTCTTCAAAATCAGTTCTCCACATGAATATCAAATTGTTTTTCTCATCTCTTTTTAAAATTCAACTTCTGGGTGCTTCCGATCTTGAAAGAATCAGAATCTATCAGCTGTCTGTGCTTACTCTTAAATAAGCTCTTAACCACATATTTACTAGTAATTTTTAATATTGGGTAAAAGAATTGGAAGTTACTGTTTCAAGTTAGTATTTTCCTTTAGCTTATCGGCACATTCTTAGGTGGCAGCCTAGAAATTATTACTCATTTTCAATACCCCAGAACTTTGTGAATATTTAAGATTTCACACTGGAAATTTACAGGTTTGCTGTCTGCCCTATAGATGAACTTCTTGAAAGCATGTAGTAAATAACTGAGCTGTTCCCGAGAAGCATGCAAAAAGAGTACAGAAAACAAGATGACCTTCATTTGAAGGGCCATTGCTCTGAAGTGGATAGGGACAGTGTTGCAATGCAGAAATAAAACAGCTCTATTTGGTGTATGAATTTTCTGAATGAGAACCCTTTTAAATCCACCCTCAAGTTATATTTTCTAGATTAGATATGAATTCTTGTCTTTTTTTTTTTTTAAATTCCAGGCTGGAAGATATCACTGAATGCACTGACCTCGCTGTGATCCTTCTACTTGAAGGTGACTTTGCATCAGTGACTTCTGCCTTCAATTCATTTCTTAACATTCTTTGCCTCAGATTAGCTTCACACGTTGCATTTTAAAGGATGGAGTGGCTCTTTTACCATACTCTAAAGCTATATTTTAAAATGTATAAATATTCCCTTTATTTAATTCCCTTAATCTTCAACTCCATTTATATTTTTAACTTTACAATGAAGTGTTAAGCATGTATTATATAAAACTAGGATTTTATTTTTAATTTGTGTGCTTCTGATGTCCTTGCAGAGATGTTTTCTCTGGAAAATAAATGACTTGCATACTTATATCCACAATTATAAGTTATTTACTGACTCTATAAGTCTAAAAATGTACAACTACAATTGCCTTTAGGACCTAGTTTGGGTAGATCAGGAGGGAAGATCATTACTTTATTCCTCTTATCCTGCTAATTAAAATAAACAACAACAACAAAAATCAAAGAATATGATTCTTCAAGACTTGCTTGTCCTTCCCATAGTTCCACTGACAGTCACATTTTTTGTGTGTGTGTCAGACAGTAATTTCTCTTAAAAAAAGGTTGAATATTTAGTTTCTTAAATGAAGATGGTTTTCATTGGCAATTTTTATTCATAGAATGCTCAAAGAGAAGATAAATGTATAATAACC